AAAGGCCGGTCTTTCCGATTTGGAAGGCGAGTGACCGCATCGCTCCCCTGCTTTCCCCATGAGTCTCCCGTACGAAAGCTGCAAGATGTCCGCGGAGAAAACACGCGCACGCACGCAAGCGCGCCTATGCGCACACAGAACACTCGCAATAAATGCGTACACTCGCAACGCACACAGCGCAAGCACGGAGACACATGCATGCGGGCATACATACACAACACGCACGCACAAACCACCCAAAGTGACACACACGGACAAACACGCGCGCGCACACCCAAAACAAACTCAGACGCGCGCGCAGGCACACCAAAATCTCGATTTCGGGGACAAAAAAGCCCGCGCAAGCACCTACGACGTCGACAGTCTGAGCGCGCTGGCAGCGATCAGACAACGCCGAAAGAACCAAGAAACGAGGAACCGGACACACCTTTCAATCGTGGATAAAGTACGTTCGCGTCGCTTTTTGGGTGGCGCCGTCTGGTGGCGCGAGTGCGCTTTCCCGATCGTTGAATTTCTCGCACGCTTAAAGGGACACTGACAGGGTATTTATGCTCGCCGAGGTTTTGATTTGTACGTGACATATGAGAGCTCAACTACCCAAAACAGAATTTGCGGCTCGAAATTCGGTTTCTTTCCGCCCGAAAACCGCCGATCAAGAACTGGCCGGTTCGAGTCTCGCTCACTCTCTTTTCCGCGGTCACGGGCCGTTTTCTAAGGTATCGATGCGACCACCAAATTTAATCAAAGTTGTGGGTCACTGAAGGCACACACTCAATATTAAAAATAGAAAAAAATATGAAACCAATTTTTTGTGGCTTCTAAAAAGCTGCAAATACGTTGATTGAAAAAAAAGTTCCACAGACAACCGGAAGCATTCTGTGCGTTCGTCTTTTCGCGTATCGTGGGACTCGCGGAGACGGCGGTGGCAGCGGACGACGGGCGTGGGACCTCTATTTCAGAACTGTCGTTCGCGGTACCGGCGAGTTCTGTCTACCGTTAAAAAAGAAATTTGGGACTGATCAAAAGAATTGGTATTCATCCCGTACGAGACGCCCGGCCACCAAGCCGATTTGCACGAAGACGTCGCCGAGCCGTCGCTCCCTTATCGTGGCTGAAGACATCGCTTGCGCAAACGTCAAGCACGACGTGTCTACTTCGAGTTGAATATGCACGCGTACGATTTCTTTACAAGGTGCGAATGTCGCCAATGCGTGGTGCTTCCCGACTTCGACCCGGGAGTGCTTTTGCTAGAGGAAAATCGGCAGCTAACTCTCCAACTTACAGTTTACCGGCTGAATTATTACTAAGAAAAGAGATCCCGCAACGAAGCGTTGCCCCAGTAGCTCAGTGGGAAAGGCGTCCGCTTCACCCGCGCTAGAACCGGGTTCGATCCCCGTGAAACCTTTTTTTTTTTTTTTAATTTTTTGATGTTTACATATCTTTTTTTTTTTACAATGATCACTGAAGAAACAAACAAAAAAAAATAACAAACACATGTTGTGGACGACACTTCGCTGAATTAAATGGTATGGGATTTCCTTTTTGACACCTGCGAACTCAATGTAATCACTTTCCACAAAATGCAAGGAGCATATAAATCAAGTAACGTCCGCTTTCCGAGGTGTCTGTATATGTTCTACAGGAATTGCAGCCAGCCATTGGTTCCGATCCCGTTGATCTTTCGAAAACTCTGTCGCACAATGCCCCTTTTTTTTCGGACGCAGGACATGTGAGCCAGCTCTTCACGCAACATCTTGGGTAAATTCGTTTCGGAGCCGATCATGGAAATTCACCACGGGCACTCACTACTCATCTCCAACTTCTCAATGTACAAAACAACTCATCTTGGAGTTCAGAACAACGAGCGGAACAAACATAACTCACGGTGAACAGTTCCCGCACGCCGCATCGCACGCCGCATGTCCTGTCGCCTGCTAACGGAGAGGAGAAAAAAAAAACGCACGGTCGGGTGTAGCCACGTGACTTCCGCCAGTCACTCTCTTCTCTCCACTTCTCCGACCTCCGTCGGGTTTCGGTTTCGGTTTCGAGCAGTTGCGTCTTTTGGCTTTATTAAAAAAATACGCTACGCTGTTGCAAAATATTAATTGGGTAGTCCTCCGACACCATAATGAAGCGCCTGGCAAAATATGAAAAAAAAATTTTGGGGGGTGTCAGTGTCCCTTTAACCCCGCGTGCGCGCGATCCTAACATACGCGATTGCAAACGGGGCGTCTGGTCGTCACCACTGTCTCTGCTCGTACCAGAAAGCGCGGGAAATTACCAGCCTGTCAAAACTATCGTAAAAAAAAGCTCGTACAACTAAGGAGATCACATCCGAGTCCTCGCTGGGAACGCTGACGCGCCTCTCGTTCTCCATACGAACTGAGTTCAGGCCGGAAGCTAAGGGGAACCTCGAATCGAACACGTGGAGCGAAAGCTCGCGCTGCAGAACCCAGGGATCCTGGGTTCAATCGCCGCCCCTGCCCGTTTCAATCCGGATGAGCCCCGTATACCAAGGAGCGGTCGTGTATCGCTGCCTACTTTATGAGGGGTTCCGTCAGATTCTTCGTCGGACATTATCCCCACCAACATCACCATTCTTACTCCACTGCTCTATGTCGAACTACGCATGTGGAAATTCCCAGTGTTGTACGGAACGGCGTTCCTGGAACGCGTTCCTGGAACGCGTTCCTTTTAGGA